CCTCCTCCTCTTCTTCTTTTTCTTTTTCCTCCTCCTCCTCCTCCTCCTCTTCGTCCTCCTCCTCCTCCTCTTCCTCCTCCTCCTCCCCCTCATTCTCCTCCTCCACCTCTGCCTCCCCCCCTCCTCGTCGTCCTCCTCCTCCTCCTCCGCCTGTCCCTCCACAGGAGGAGTAGATTCAAGAATAGTGAAAAAATAGTCAGGGGATTATTTTTGGATCATGTTTGAGCATTTGGGGGGCACTTTGTGAGTATTTCCATTTTTTCGCCCAAAAATCCCCCTGTAGGGGGACAGGCCTGACTTAACATTGGGTCGGGAATGTCCCGCTACAGGCGGAATCTGTGCGAGAAACAAACAATAGTCGAAACATCTTCCAGAAATCTCCAAACATAGTCAAAACGTCGTCCCCAGACTGTTTTCTGACTATGTTTGAATATTCTTCCTGTAGAGGGACACGCCCGACTTAACCTCATAATCGAAGAGAGTGGCCCTTTCGGTCGCCTTCCCACTTCAAGAGTCGAGTGGATTTCCCTCTCTTCCCTCCCCTTCGGGAGGCGGGTGGAAACCCAATCTACTTCCAACGCCTTCCTACTTGATGGTTCTACCTCCTTCTTCCGACCAGTGAGTAGGCCTCCTAGATGGGGTCCGAGTAGATGGGGTTGGAGGATCGCGCCACATCGCCGATGCATCGTCGAGGCGGCTCGATGTGCAGCCCGACTTGCTCACGTCGACGTCGCCGATACATCGCCAACGTCGACGATGCATCCCCGGTGCATCGCCGATGTATCGGCGATGCAACACGATCCTCCGACCCCAGGACCCCATCTGGGAGGCCTCTAAACACGAAGACCACTTGGACAACCGCAGGGGGTGCTCAAGGGCATGTGGGGTGTTTAGTGGATGCTACTGTAAGTCAGTCTGTCCCAACCTATCTTAGCAGTGGTTTGCAAGAGCCCAGTGCGGCTTCCTGAGAACAAAGATCTGGGCAAGTGGGCGGAGTCCACTTAATGGAGTCACCTAGCCCTTTTCAGCCACTTAAGGTACTTGCGACCCACGTATGAGCTAGGTTAGGCCAGGCATGACCCACCTCACATCCACTCATAATCCTCAATTCCCTGAGCACCCCCCGCTGTCATCCAAGCATGACCAGGATGTCGCTGGATCTTGTCGACGCCGGTCTTGGTCCTGGCCCGTGCCCACCGTCGCCGATTCGCGAGGATGATCCACGAAGCTACGGCGACCAAGATGGACAGTGACCAGGATCGACACGCACGTTTCCACGCTCCTTCTTGGCGTTGGTCAGCAGCTTCTTCCCCTCCATCTCTCTCTGCCATTTCGACGTCTGGGTAACCCTTCCCGGGGCAGACGGCTCGAGGTGGAAGCCAAGCCCGCGAAGGGGGTCCAGACCTCGGGATCCAGCCCTCGCCAGTGCAGGGGTCCAGACCTCGGGGGGTCCACTTTGTGAAGAGAAACTCGCCACGCCCAGAGTCTTGCGATCTCCAGGGTTCGCAGTGAAGGCCTATGCCAAGACACCCTGCTCGCCTCCAGGGTGCCCAGGGTTTCTTGGGTTTCGATGGCGCTGCCATGGAAAGCTGGGTTTCGATGGCGCTGCCATGGAAAGCGTGATGCTCCCAGAAACCAGAACTCAGTGGACGCCCTGTGGGTATTCGGGGTTGGGTTTCTTGTGGAAGGTCTCTTGTGGGCTGGCCTCCGCCGGTTTCCTCTTGATGCTGTTGCACCTCCCTGGGCCTCCGCAGGCCTCCAGGGGCCGCCGGAGGCCTCCTGCGGACGTCCAGACACCGCCAGAGGTCCAGGGGCGAGGGAGAAGGGGGACGAGGAGGAGGAGGAGGAGAAGGAGGAGGAGGAGGAGGAGGGGAAGGAGGAGGAGCAGGAGGAGAGGAAGGATGAGGAGGAGGAGGAGGACGAGGAGGAGGAGGAGGAGGAGGAGCAGGAGGAGGGGAAGGAGGAGGCGAAGGAGGAGGAGGGAGGAGGGAAGAGAAGGAGGAGGAATGAGCAGTCAGGAGGGCTGAGAATGGAGGGGAAGAGAAGGTGGGCTGAGGTTGGGTGAAAGAGAAGGAGGGCCGAGGAGCAATCGGGAGGGCTGAGGATGGCGGGAAAGAGAGGGAAGGGGGCAGAAGGGGAGGGCCGAAGTTTGGGGGGGCAGCGTTCGCTGTCAACGTCGCCCTGGACCATTTGAGGCGAGGGTGGCCTCCCCGACTGCGGCCGCTGTCTGTTTGGAACAGGACTTGCTGTTGGGCCTCGGCCCCTTATTCTTCCGTCTCCATTCCGCGCGTGACAAGGGGAGGCTGGAGGAGGGGGAGGAGGAGCAGGAGGAGGTGCAGGAGGAGGGAGGCGGAGAAGGAGGAGGAGGAGGAGGAGGGAAAGGATGAAGACGACGCAAGGGAGTAGAATGGAAGAGGACGAGGATGGCGTCTTCTCCGCCCCTTTGCTGCAAGCCGATCTTTTTCCCTCCTCCCCACCTCATGCTTCCTTGACCCCCCATCCTCAACCCTCTCGCCTTCGTCCTCTCCCTCAACCCCCTCCTTGATTCTCCTTCCTCTCCCTCTCCCGCCCATCCTCGCTTCTCCCTGCACCCCTCCTTCCTCCCTCCCACCGCCCCTTCTCGTCCTCCTCCCTCTTCGCAAGCTGGGGGCGAGAATGAGGAAAAGGAGGAGAAGCCAGTCCGGAACTCCAGATTGAAGCGAGGCCTCTGGATGTAGACGGCCTGCTGCGAGTCCTCTCGGGCGCGAGGCCAAGGCCGCGATTGCTCTGGCGACCTCGACGACGGCTGCGGCCGACGATCGGCGACCAACGGCGAACGGCCGCTAACAAACGACGAACATCGGACCGGCGACGAGCGAAAGGCCAAGGATGACCGCCGAGCCGCGGCCCACGGCGGCGACGACGAATGATGGCGGCGATCGACGAGCGACCGACGACGGTGAACGGCGGGGTCGGCGACGGACAATCGAACGACAAATGGAGGCGGCGGCAATGGCAAGGGACGAACGACGAGCTACGACCACGAAATCAGCGACCCTCGATCTTCTGGCCTCGATGCTCGAGCCTCGAGGCAAAGACGGCAGTTGCGACAGGCGACGCCGACGAACCACCGACGAACGACCGAAGAGCGGCGGCGGCGGCGACGGTGGGGGCCTCCGAGGACCTCAGAGGCCTGCGTCAGGGATGTTCTTTGCTCTTTTCAAGCGACACTGGTTCTGGAACGCGAGCAGATGAAACAAAACGGCCCCTGGAACAGCATCGGAACTGGAACCGGAACCGCAAACACAAACGGCGACGGACTTGGGAACAATAACGGCGCCAGAACTAGCAAGACAATTGCAAAACGGAATTGGTCGCAAAAATGGTTTTATCGTTTCCAGGGCCCACTACGGTGAGGCCCCCGAGATCCCCCTCAGAGTTCGCTAAGAGAAGAGAAACAGTCCAGAAACCTCGACCCTCTAATTACTCATTCGGTCCTCGAGTCTCGAGCCTCGACAGACGGCGCAAGCGGTGACGGACGACGCCGACGGACTGCGGCGGTGACGACCAGGCGAACGGCTACCGACGACCACCGACGAGCGACGACGACCCGCGAACGACGAAGACTGTCCGACGGACGAAGCACGAAGACGAACAGCGATGGCGACGAACGACAGCGGGGCCGACCGACGAACGACGACGACGACCGACTATCGAATGGCTACTTCGGCGGCGGCGACCACGGACGAACGACCGACGACACACACAGATATCCGACGGACTGATTCCTCTTTCACCCGCGGGCCCCAGACGCCCCGACCTCTTTCCCGGGGTTTTCTCCTCATCCTTTGCCTGCTCCCTCCATTTGGCCAGGCAACACAGGCGGCAGGCATGAGCCCCCGCGGTCCGCGAGCGTTCGGTCGCAAATAATTTGAGCCTGGCGTACCCTCTTGATTATGTTCCGTCTTTAGCGTCGGCTCGCGTCGATCAACGTCTGGGAGTCGATGAGTTAGCGCCGATTTAGCGTTGGTCATCATCGATTAGCGTCGATCTAGCGCCGATTCGCGTCGATTTAGCGTCGCTTCGCGTTGGTTCGCAAGAGCCGACAAGCTGGTATTGGAGGTTCAATGAGTTGCCACCGAAGGTCCACGAGCGGTTCGGGGCATTGTGGTCCACTGGAGCCGACGGTGCTCTTGAGCAGGAGGACGAGCAGGAGGATGCAGGACGAGGAGAAGAATGGCTACTCTGGCAAACCCCAGGAGCCTCTGGGAAGCCCACGAGGGCTCCTGGAGGCAACGGGAGGTCCCGAGAGGCCCCACGAGAAGGCACGACGCGTACGAGGGCGGCAGGACGAGGGGGAGGGAGGAGCAGGATGAGGAGGTGGAGGAGAATGACGAGGAGGAGGAGGCCCACGGAGAAGGCAGGACGATGATGATAATGATGATGATGATGCTGCTGATGATGATGATGATGACGATGGTGATGATGATGATGCTAGTACTGATGCTGATGCTGATGCTGATGATGATGATGATGATGATGATGATGATGATGATGATCTTGATCATGATCATGATCATGATCATGATGATTAGGAGGAGCATGAGGAGGAGGAGGAGGAGGAGGAGGAGGAGGAGGAAGAGGAGGATGACTGGTGGAGACCCAAGACTCACCAACGACTTTGTTTGAAGTAAACTTTCCCTCGAACATTCCTCCTCATAGGCCCCTGCAGTTTGGAATTCCCACCTAGTTTAAGAGCCCCGTTGGAAGACAATCGTTTGAACATCATGAAGCCACAACACCACTCCTGGGACTGCATCGCCGCGAATCATCGTTAGGGTTGCGACTCGAGGATCCTGAACCGTGTCAAAATTTTATCCGTGGGATTTCCACGACGCGGATCAACGTGGCCCTTGCGCCCTGACAGTCCAACATCGTGCCAACACATAAGTGTCTGGGACGTCAGCCATGAGAAACCTCGAAGCTGCTGTGAACCCTTCAGACGTATGTGCGTGGCGCTAATGCGAGAGCCACATGTTGAAAAGGAACCGCACTCCACGCGTGAAACTCCTGACAGCTGGTAATACGAATGTGCGCAGCGCTAAGGCGAGAGGTACATGTTGGCAAGGATCCGCCCTCCATCCGTGAAGCTGCTGCAAACTCTGAAGACTAGCGTGCGCGGCGCTATGGCGAGAGCTACATTTTGGAAATGCGCCGCCCGGCACGCGTGGCACGGTTGCAAGCTTTTCAGGCGAATATGCGCGATGCGAAGGCCAGGGTTACAGTTTGAAAATCACCCGCCCTCCATTCGGGAAGCTGTTGCACATGTTTTGGGATGGTGTGTGCGGCGCTAAGGCGAGACACCTTTTGAACACGGCCCCAAACTTTTAAGGCGAGAGCCCTATTTGAAAACGACCCGCCCTCCATGCGTGAAACTGTTGCAATTTTTAAGCTTAAGGATCAGAAGTGATGTGGAAGTCTTAAGCGAAGCGCCCAGCCCGCCCTACAGACGTCTCGGGGTGTTACAGCGTCCCACGAAGGCTTCAGGTGACCCCAGGAGGCTCAATGGGGGCCCAGGAGGCCCGGGGAGGTCCTAGGAGGAGGCATGATGCCCGAGGAGGAGGGGCAGGTTGCAGGTGGAGGCATGGGGAGGAGGAGGAGGAGGAGGAGGAGGAGGAGGAGGAGGAGGCAGAAAGGGGAGGAGGCCTGGGTGAGGTAGGAGGAGGATGAGCAAGGAGAAGCAGGGAGGAGGAGGAGGAGGCGGAGGAGTAGCAGGCGGAGGATGAGGCACGTACGATGATGGCGCTGGAGATCCCCAGGCAAGCTAAACATGTTCGCATGCGGGGTCCGACCGTCGGAGTAACTGATCAACGGTCCCGGAGCGCGGCATGGACCCCCCAGGTGCCCACAAACGGAGGAAAAAAGCCCTTCCGTCGGATTCCTTTCACGACGCGAGCACGTTTGGGGACGTGTTCGCCGCTTGTGGCGCCGGCCGCGGGCCATGGGAGATTTGTACCCTCAGCGTGCTCACTCTTTCTCTCAGGCCGCGGCTCACTTCATGAGTTTGCCTCTCGCGGGTCGGCTCTTGGGGTGTTCCTGTGTTGCATGGTGGTGAAGTGTGTAGCTCGTCAAAAGTGAACTCAGCATTTTCTTAGGGTGGAGGGCGCAGGGTGAAATCCAGATGGGCTTTTGCACCTCGACAATCAATCCGTCTTGTGATTCGCTTTTTGCAGACTCAAGCCTCGAAAATCCATCGAACCGGCATTTCGGATTTCACCCTTTGCCCTCCACCCAGGGGAAATGCTCGGGTGAATGGCGATAGTGACCGTGAAAAGTCAGAAGTCAGGAGCAATAAGTAAAAGGTGCATCCTCCTCCTCTTCCTCCTCCTCCTCCTCCAGCTCCTCCTCCAGCTCCTCCTCCCCCTCCTCCTCCCCCTCCTCGTCCTCCTCCCCCTCCTCCCCCTCCTCATCCTGCTGCTCCTCCTCCTCCTCCTCCTCCTCCTCCTCCTCCTCCTCCTCCACCTCCTCCCCCTCCTCCTCCCCCTACTCGTCCTCCTCCCCCTCCTCCCCCTCCTCCTCCTCCCCCTCCTCCCCCTCCTCCTCCTCGTCCTCCTTCTCCCCCTCCAGAGCGGGCAGCGTGCTGCGTGCGGAGCGGATCGTATTCGGAGGTCTTCGCCGCTCGTGGCGGAGGCGATTGGCCCCGCTGGCGGAGCTCCGCGGGCGGCGGCCGGCGGCCGGCGGCGGCGCCCCCTCCCCTCTCGGGGGGTTGAGGCGGGCATGTCCCTCGGCAGGAGAAGTGCCTATCTCTCCCTTCCCCATCTTTCCCTATCCCTCGTCCTTCTCCTCCTCCTCCTCCTCCTCCTGCTCCTCCTCCCCCTCCTTCTCCTCCTCCTTCTCCTACTCCTCCTCCTCCTACTCCTCCTCCTCCTCCTCCTCCTCCTCCTCCTCCTCCTCTTCTCCCCCCCCCCTCCCTCCGCACCCAGTCGGTTCGACTCAAGCTTCGCATTGCAGGGAACGATTTGTTTTGCTTTTTTTGGCCCACCTTGGTATCTTTGATTTCTCGTCCAGAATCCGCCTGCAGGAGGACACGCCCGACCGAACCCTGGGGTCAGGTCGGGCATGTGCCTCTACAGGAGGAGTGTCCAAGGAGTGTTGCCCTGGTTGACTGTTTTGGACTTATCCACCGAGGCCCGCCTGTATGTCGCGAAGTCAAAACAGATGCCCAACCCCAAAAACGCGGGGGCCAAGACAAAATGCAGGCTCCTCGAGACTTCGGGGAATTTTGGGGTAGGCTTTTACCAGGGCGACGACGACGAATGTAAAATATGCCCCGAAGTCTTCGGCCGATCTTCGGATCCTTTGTGAATCCGCGATTTTGGGATTGGGGATGTGTGTTTTCGTGGTCGGTAGGAGGACATGCCCGACCCGCACCCCCGGGGCCCTGCCCGAGGAGCCCGCCGCCGAGGGCGCCGCGGCGGCGGGCCCCCGGAAGTTCCGGGCCGAGCCGGACGGCGGCGTCTGGCTCTCCCCCCCCCCGGCGGCTGCGCCCCCCCGGGAGGTCGGCGTCTGCTCCTTCCTCCTCCTCCCTCCTCCTCCTCCTCCTCCCACCTCCTCCTCCCTCCTCCTCCTCCTCCTTCTCCTGCTCCTCCTCCTCCTCCTCCTCTCCTCCTCCTCCTCCCTCCTCCTCCTCCTCCTCCATCCTCCCTCCTCCTCCTCCTCCTCCTCCTCCTCCTCCTCCTCCTCCTCCTCCTCCTCCTCCTCCTCCTGCAGTGGCAAGTCGCATCGCTTATCCGACCCCGATCCCCATCCCCTTCGAGGCCCCCACAAATGACCCCCCCCCCCCCAGTTGGGGCTGCACCCCTTCGAAGCCCGAAGGGGGCGGCCTGCATGCATCCCCATATCCAGTGGGGCAAGTCGGCCGGTGGGGCCAAGGCCACGCCGCTGGGGATGGGGATCGCATAAACGATACTCAGCAGAGCGTCCTGGCTCGCCTATAGGCGCACGGGGAAATGTTCCAAGAACCTTCTCTGTGGTCTGCACGAAATGTCCTTAGAACAGTTCTGGCTGAGGCTGTCTTGTTTTAACGCATCGGCTCTATAGATTGCTGGCGTTCTTTCTCGCATTTTTGGGGTTCAAAGAACAAGTCGTGGTAGTCCCACAGGAATGCCTGGACGGTCGGTCCCTGCTCACGGGTGAGTGCAAACGGGGTCCGCCAGGGCGCCAGCTCTTGCAGGATTCTGGAGAGCCTGCAGTTGCACTGCCCCGGGCTGGTGCGCTGGATCCAGCAGGATCCTGCAGGATCTTGCAACGCCCGACTGACCCGCGTTTGTGTTGGCCTGTGTCGGTGTGTCCCCGACCTCGGGCCGCTGTGCCCCAGGTAGTCCGATGTCTGTTCTTGGGAGCCTTGGGCGGCGACATGGAAGCCAGCTTTTTCCCCACGTGGACCACATTTGAACCAACGAATAATGGTGTTCATGCTGGCCCTGCTCGGGCCGCCACGGTCCAGCGCCGCTGCGCCCCCTCGACGTGCGCGGCGAGACGCCAGAGCGACTTCGGGCCGAAGGGGCTGCGTGGAGGAGGAGGAGGAGGAGGAGGAGCAGGAGGAGGAGGAGGAGGAGGAGGAGCAGGAGGAGAAGGAGGAGCAGAGAGGAGGGAGGAGGAGGAGGAGGAGAGGAGGAGAGGAGGGAGGAGGAGGAGGAGGAGGAGGAGGAGGGAGGAGGAGGAGGAGGAGGAGGGCAGGGCCCCCCTCCACTGCCAAGTCGTTTGGCGAGTTCCCTTCTGCCTGAGACCTCGAGGGGGCTGTGGCGGCCGCAGTGCCTTGTGGGCCCGCGACCGCCCGCGGTCGGGGCCCGGGGCCGTGGTCGCCCAACGAGGCGCTGCTTCGCGTCGGGGGCCCGCCTTCGAGGCTTGGCATCGCTCGGACGTGTGCATTCTTCCTTCGGCGAGGACCATCGAGGAGCATCCTCGATCATGTGGCGAAAAAGCCACGCACGAAACCGACAAAAAACACAGGGAATGGACGTCCGAGCGATGGGGAGGAGGGGCCAGCGAGGATCCTGGGCCGAGGCTCGAGGGATCGGGGCCCGAGGATCGGGGGCCGAGGATCGAGGATCGGGGGCCGAGGATCGCGCATCCAGCACCGAGGACCGAGGGCCGAGCTTCGACGCTCGATCCCCCTCCTTCGATACGTGTGGGGGGGGGGGGGGGCGGCGTTCTGCGGGGAGGGACGGTCGGGCCCGCTCTCGGGCCGTCGCGGACGCCCCGGAGACTGAACAAAAGGCGACGTGCAAGACCCGAGGAAGGTCCACTGTGCGTGTGCTGCCGCAGTCGGGGACCTCGAGTGCGATCCTCCGGTGCCCTCCATCTGGGCCTCTCGGGGCCTCGGGCGGGGGGGGAAGAGGGAGAGGCGCTCCCCCCTGCCCTCCTCCTCCTCCTCCCCGTTCGGATTGCAACTTCTGGGAGGTCAAACTTCGACTCTGCCCTGGTCCGAAATCCGGCTCAGTCCGACTTAACCCCGCGAAGTCCACCTGTTCTTGCTCAATCCCGCGGCATCCGCGGCCTGATCCAGCACAGCAGCCCCCGAATGGGGATCGATTCTTGACGCTTCGGTCCAGACCTCCACGTGCGCGGACCCTGTGCCCAGCCCCATGGACCCAGACTACAGCCCTGAGCGACAAGGACGGGGGCTGGTCCTCAGCTCCTGGCCCTCCAGTGTCAACGGCTTGGGCCACTCTTTCCCCAGCATCCGCCAAGTTGCCCACAAGCACTTTGCCTCAGGAGGGCTCACCCTATCCACGGTTGACGCCAGCCAAGGCGGCGAAGCAAACCTGGTCATCTTCCTCATTACGCGGTCCAACTCCAACCACACATTGGGTTTCGTGGACAACCCTAATAGAGTCAACGTGGGGCTCACACGTGCCAAGCGGGGGATCGTGATCATAACGGACGGCCGCATGATGGCCTCCATGTCCGACTCTAAGCTGCGGCTCCTCTCCAATTACGGTCGTCTCGCAGGCCTCTGGGTGCGGTTCCGCAACGTCCCCAGCCATAGCCCTGGCAATCGCACTGAGCTGCTCCCCGACCCCACCGTCGACCCCATCCGGGACCTCGCCTCTTGGGTTGGCGGGACCCGAGACCCTCGCCGCCAATGAGGCAGACGACGCCAGAGTCAGGATCGACCATGCCGTGGCCAGGAGACGGGATGAGCACGCCAAGAGCTTCAACGTGCAATTCGACCTCCCCCCGGGGGTCGGCCATCGCTGGGAAGACCTCGGGCGCCGGATGAAACAGCGCTGGAGGCGCTGACTGACCCCGCGTTCTCCGTCGTCCTCTTCATGGTCGCGGGGCTCCACCCCCACACGTATAACAGTGAGGGTGCCCCCTCCGACTTTGCGCAGTTTGACAGGAAAGCCTGCAGCCACTTGGGGTACCCGTACGACGTGGGGCTCGGGCTCGTCGCTGGCAGCCTGGTTTATAACATGACTTGGGCCACCCTGGTCTGGTCCGTCGGCCTAGGCTCAGGAGGGGAAAACACACAGACAGAAGCAATCGGCGATTCCCAGAAAGTATGGGAACATATGGGAAGTGGGGGGGAAGACAAAAACCAAGAAACTATAGGAACATATGGGGGATATGTTTATGTATATTTATTGGTGTGTCCCAGTTCCCCTTCATAGGCCCCCCTGGGGCACCCCCCGGTGCCCGATCTCCTCCCACGAACTTCCCCCGAGGCCGCAGTCCCAGGGTCGAGCCGCTCGGCGGCCCCAGAACAGAAGCCGCCGCACCCCACCCGGCCTCCAGCACCAAGTTCCCCATGCCTTGGCATCGCTCGGACGTGTGCATGTTTCCTTCGGCGAGGACCATCGAGGAGCATCCTTGATCATTTGGCGAAAAAAACGCACGAAACCAAAAAAGCACAGGGAATGGACGTCCGAGCGATGGCCAGATGCATGGTCCTCTGGGGCCAGGACCTGCCCGCGCCACCTCGTCTACCCCGGCTCTGGCACCCCGGCCAGTCTTCTGCAGGGCCACGAGGGAGTCTCACAGCACCGAGTTGGCCTGCTGGACCCCAACGACCACATTCTGTCCACCGAGAGGGCCCGCTGCGCCCTCATCATCATGCTGCTCATGAAGCGCGAGCCGCGGGCTCTCTCCGCCGACTGGCCACACTTCTGCCAGAACGGGTCCGAGGGGCGGCTCAGGGGATCTTGCAAGAGCTGGAGGCGCCCGCCCCCAAGCCACCGCTGCAGCCAGGACAGGGACTGCAGCAGGCCACAGCCCGCGTCAACAGAGCCAGGGAGCAGTTGGACAAGGTCAAGGCTGCGTGGATCCGCCACAAAAGGGACTTGGAGAAGAGCGAGAAGGATCTCAAAGAGGCCACAGAGGAAGTACACCGAGCTGAGCGAGAGGAGATTGCGGCAGCCAAGCAGTTCCTCCCTCAGCTCCCGACGAAGGCGGCGGCCACAGTCGACGTGCAGCAGGTCCTGGACGGCAAACTGGACCTGGAGATCAACTTCGAGTCATTGTCAGGTCTCGAGGTGCAGGAGGAAGACCTCAAGGTGCTGGACGAGGCCAAGCAGCAGCTGCAGAAGGCACTGTCCGAGGCGGTCCAGGCGTCGTACGGGGCCCTACAGGCGAGGATCGACGAGCACAAGGCGCGTCTCGCAGACGTCGTGGAGCGGGCGCGGAAGAAGCGGAAGGCGCCAGAGGCTCCAGCGGAAGCTGAAGCAGCTGGCTCAGGAGGTGGGGCACCAGCATCAGCGCCGTCTCCCCCAGGCCCTGACCCAGGAGATGGCCAGAGGCCGCCTCCCCAGCCCGCGGCCGCTGGAGGAAGCGGCAGCCTGGACCCACAGCAGGCCCGCCTCGAGCGCGAGGTGGAGGCCTTGGTGGGGGGCTACAAGGCAAGCGCGGGTCAGGGAGGGGGGACGTGTTCCTGATGTTGGGGCCAGTGACGTGAAGAGTTTGTACATGCGCAATCTCTCTGGATGGGGATACCCGACCAAGGGGCTGCTGAAGGAGAGGGCTCACGATATTCTCATTTTTCCAGAGCTTCATCGCCTGCCAGAAGAGTGCCAGGAGGTCCTGCATGAGTGGGATAACGCTGGTTACCAAGCATTGGTTGCCCCATCGTACCAAGCTCAAGGAGTGAAGCGAGCAGCGGGTATCTCGGCAGGAGTCTTGAAGCGGTACCAGTTCCAGACGTTTCGCCATCTGGCCAACAAGCAGGACCAGCAGCTGGGACTCAGGATGTTAGACGAGCCAGATTTCACCAAGCAACAGGGGATAGACTTCAAGGACCTGGTAGCGTTCCAGCTGAAGATAGGTGGCCAGGCCGTCACGATCATCGGAGTGTATCTCACCGCTGGCATAGGTTTGACTGGCACCAACATAGACAAGCTCATCCAGATGGGCCAGCTGATACAATGCTTGCGCACGCCTTGGCTGGCCATAGGAGACTTCAATGCAGAGCCGCAGGAGTTAGTCAAGGTGGGCTGGCCCAAGCTTGTCGATGGCATCATTCG